CCTTCTTTCTAAACCAGTGCGCCCGGTGGGCAGAGGACCCGGCGGCGCGCGCCCTGGCTGCAGCCCCGGCGCTGGCTTCGCGCCCTCTCTGCTTCCTTTTCTCAGACTCGAGCGGGACGCAGCCTGGGGGGTGGGGGTGGGGTGGTTCGGAGGAAGCGGCGAAAGGGCCCGGGCCGGGAGGATGGGGCTGTTTCACCGTGCCGTGGCCCCCCTCGCCCTCCTCCCCTCCCCCACTCTGGGTCCCGCCAGTCTAGGAGTGGCGCGGAACGGCGGAGACCCCTGGCTAGGCCCAAGCGCGCTCACCTCTCTCCCCCCGCTTTTTTGCAGTTGTTATTGAAGATGATAGGATTGATGACGTGCTGAAAAATATGACCGACAAGGCACCTCCCGGTGTCTAACTCCCTCAAAGACAATGAGTTAAGAACGGCGATAACAGTTATTGCAAAAGCATGAAATGAGAAAGCACTTCGAAATTTATTACTAGCTCGCTACCCACGATGAAATCAACAACCTGTATCTGGTGTCAGGCCGGGAGTCAGACGAGGCGCGAGGAGGAGGAGGAGGAGATGGAGGAGGCTGCGAAGGCTCTGGGCTCCTCTGCAAAAAAAAATAAAAAATAAATAAAATTTTAAATAATTAAAAAATCACTATATACACACATATTCAGAAATAAAAAAAGAAGTCTCAGTTGCAGCTATTTGTCAAAATTAATATCCATTTCCTTTTATATACGGTGAATATTGCGCAATTATAGATCTGGATTTTGAACCACTTAATGAAGCGGCAACACCGGGTGTTTTGAGGTGTTGGCATTCTTCGCTGATTTGGCTGTTTCCAATGTTTACATTATTTAATCTTGCAAAAATGATTCTGTGCACTTGGATGTGAAATGCTGTCCAGTTTTTTTTAATGTTGTTATCTTTGGATGTACAAAAATTCAGAAAATGATCTCTGTAGATAATTCTGTTTTATTTTGGTCATCTTTTGAAGTTATCAGGAATGTGTTTAAAACAAGAAGAGAAGTTTTCTAAGCAATGATACCTAGAACGAATCCTTGTTTTATTTTGAAATGAATTGTGAAGCTTGTGTTTCTTTGTTGCTGCAAGCTATTTGCCCAAGTTAATGCAAATGGACACATTTTATATGTCAGAAAAAAACACACGAAAAACAAAAAGAAAAAAATGCTTGAGCTTTTTCTAACCTCCCCCTGCAGTCTGTTGTGTGAGCAGCCTGTTTTTTTTCTCTAATATTATGTCAGTTTATTCTCTTTAATGGACTGTAAAAAAAAATGTAATCACAAGAGTGCCAAATATCTTGAAATGCCAAAAGGCATTTTGGTTTCTTTTCTTTTCCCTGTGCTCTGAGTCCACGTACAGGAATGCTTGGAGTGTTTCTGTTATTTATAGGGATTCTCTTAAGGCACACCAGCTGCCTGTTTTGCATGGTATTTGCAAAAATGCCTCTTGCGTGAGGAAATCTTTTACCATTTTTTGTTTGCAACTTTGGACCTCAAGAGGTTTCCCTTCCCTTCCCTGTCCCTCTTTTCTTAATTCGATATTCTGTATGTTGCACCTTGAACCAGCACACAGGGCTATTTCTCCAATGTACAATAAAAGAACTGATCCTGTGACTCACTCCCTCTCTCTTCTTTGCTGTGGTTGGGGGTGGGAGTGGAGATGGGGATTGGGGGGCGGTGGGGGGGGACTTGGCTGGTTGCAGACAGGAAGGAAGGGACGGTGGCATTGGTCTGCAAGGCAAAAAGGCAACGTGGGGTGCGCTGTGGATAGGCCTGACTGGCAAGGCCATCCTGAAGGGCAAGTTTAGTTTTGGATTTGCAGGTTGCACTCTCCTGGCTTTCCAGAGGTTTCTGCCATCCTTGGTGGGGTGAGGACAGAAGGGGGACGATGTGCTCAGAAGTGAACAGTCTTGTTAAGAGCAACGTTTGAAGGCTGACAGATTTGGATTCAAATCCCAGCTCCTTGACTTCCTAGCTCTATGGACTTGAGCAAGTCTCTGAACTTCTTTAAGCCTCAGTTTCCTAATCTGTAAAGTGGGGACAACTCAGCCCGTGGCTCATAGGGTTATTGGGAGGATTAACACAACACCCAGCACACAGGGACGCTCAGTACCAGGCCACTATATGCCCATTTAATCCTTCACCGAGGGCCACCTGTCCTCAAAGGCAGGGCTGAAGATGAGCTATTCTCTTTTCCAGACCCTTCGCCTTCTGGAGCCCAGAGGTCACTGCTGGAGGGAGCAGCCTCTTCTGGGGCCCACGGCTGCAGAGGCTACAGTCCTTCCCACTCACCGCTAAAGGCTTGTTATGGAAAACAATCTCAGCCCCTTGTTAGGCTTGGGGCAGTTACTGCTGGTGGAACAGGTCCCTAGGGGAGAGGGTTTGGGAGGAGGATTGTGACTGAAGAAAGGCCAGGAGAGGTTTTTCTCCGGGGCTGTTACGCATCTAGAAGCCCCAGTGCCGGGAGCTTTTAATGTGTTTGTTGTAAAACTGTCAGCCGGGGAGTCACAACACAGCTCACAGTGACAGGAGCCTGAGTGTGACTCAGACATCAGGTAAGAGGGCTCAGGAGGGAAGAGGAAGAGGGGCTCCAGAGGGCCCATGGGGGGTGATGTCTCATCCTCCTTCCCTGGCTGTGGAGGCCTCCAAGCCTTAGGGGGTCCCAGCAGAAAGCAGTCATTATTAGGAACAGGGGCAGGCTGGAGCTGGCGGGGCTGCAGAAGGGCTGGGAATGCCGGCTTGACTTTCCCAGGTGCTTGACCCTCTTCCAGAACCTGGCCCTCCTCCCTGCTGACCTGGGGACCCAGTGCTTGGAGCTGATGAGGGACTATGGAGCAGGCCAATCCCTGTGCTTTCCCTCTGAGTAGGCCGAGGGGGGCCGCCCAGGGAGTGGGGGGCAGGGCCCACCTTCTGCTCAAACAGGAGCCTCATGAAAAGACTCTTCTAGCAGGCACGGTTTCTGTCCGCACCCAGGAGTAATTGCCACTTACCTGATCAAAGCGCTGTGCAATTACAAGGTGCTTTCCCTCCCATTCTCTCTCGCAGTCCTCCCAGCCACCCTGGAAACCCACAGGCAGTCATTCTCCTCGGTAGGGGAGGAAATTGAGGGCCTAGAGGGGCTAGAAGGATCACGCAGCACCCGCATTAGTGGAGCTCTTACTGTGCCAGGCTCACAACAGCCCTATGTAACAGGCACGATGATTACCCTGGTGGCGCAGAGAAACCAGGGCTCAGAAAGGTGAAGAAACTTGTAGAGGGGGGCTCAGAAAGGCACTGAGGGAGGACTGGAACCACAGCCCCTCCCCGCTCCATGAGGGGGGTGCAGAATCACCTGACCCCAGACCCAAGGCTGAGTCCCAGCTGCAGCCATTGTCCTTCAGCCTCAAATGTCCTTTGTCGCTTTGTTGTTTTGAGGCTCGGTCCCTCTCTGGCCATTCACTGTGTGCAGGGTCAGAGGGGGGCAGGGCTTGGATGTGGTCAGCGAAGACCGGAGCTGCCCTCTGCTGGGAAGGGGGAGGCCAGAGCCCTCAGCCAGGGCCCCAGGGCCATTTTAATAAGTGATGTATTAAAACATTCCTGCTGGAGGCCACCCCGTCGGCGTCAGCTGCTTCAGAAGACAGGGTCTGCCTCTCCCAAGGACTCCATTTAGCAAAAGGGAATATAAATCTTTTAAATATACTATAACATCAGGTAAACATTTGTCAAGAGGGCACTTTGGGGACTGGGCAGATATCAGATTATACCCAGTGTAGGATATGTTTGCAGTATCTGGTTAGATAGCAATAAATATGGAAAAGGCTATTAAAAGACCAAGGTGGGGGAGGGTGTCTATAAGCCTCCGAGCATTGATCTGAGCGTGCCAGGCCTGCATTATTCAAACTTAACTAATTGAATGCTTGTGATAAGCATATATCTCCCTGGATTCTGCTTCCATGGCCTGTCTAGGCTGACAGCCTGAAGGAACATCAAAAAGCACCTCTAAGGGGGAAATTGGCAAATTAAGTTTTAAAAGAAAGAGACTTGAAAATTACTGCTGTTTGAAGGCCATGGATGACAGGGATCAGTGAGGGGGCCTCTGGCAGGAAGCTCTGGCCCAGAGGGAGGGGACAGACCTTAGGGTGGCTGGTGAAGGGGTTTGGGATGCAGATGACTTGGATTTGAAGCCTGTCTTCTATACTGGCTATTTGTGACTTGGAGTGGTTCTCAATCTCTTTGGGCCTCTGTTTTTTCTTCTATAAAATGGGAATGATGACAATTCTCACACAGGATTAGATGGGAACCCTGTCCTCCTCCCCCACACAGCCTGGTGCATAATAAATGGCAGCCATCAATATGAATATATATGAAGTGCCTACTGTGTGCCAAGCAATGGACCTTTAAGACCTAGCCAAACAGTTCTTGTTGCATGAAGCTTCTTTGCAGACATTTTCTGGCAGCTGCACTGCCCAAAGTGGAAAGGTGGGAGTTTGGGTGAGGAGGGTGGGTGGTTTGGGGGAGTCAGCCTGCCTCTCTTATCTTCATCAGCTCCCCAAAGCCCCCAGTAATATGATCCTAAGTAAATCCATGTGCCTAGTTCCCAAAGGCAGCGTCAGGAGGAGTCTTCTACCCTCTTCTAACCAGATTGCCAGAAGTCTTCCTTCTCTGCAGGGAGACTAAGAAGTATTGACTTCTTGCCCTGGGAAGGGAAGAACTTGGCTTTCTACTTGGATCACTTCCTTCAACAAATCCTCAAGTTTTATTCATTTGACAGATATCAATCTAGCACCTACTGTGCGCCAGGCTAACTGGGTATACTATGGTGAATAAAATGGGAGTTTTTCCTGGGCTTGAAAATGATGATGGTTTTTATGGAAATGAGGTTAGGCTCTAGGGGGCTTGGATACCCCCAAAACCAGAAGCTCAGATCCTTAATGCTGGCAAAACGAGGGAACCAAACAGAACAGGGTCTTGGGGAATGCCTGAAACATAAACACGTGATCCACTTAAAAAATAAGCTTTGTATTTTAGAATAGTTTTAGATGTACAAGAAAGTTATGAAGATAGTACAGAGTTGCCACTCACCCCTGACCCAGTTTCTCCTACTGTTAAATTATTGTGGTACATCTTTCACAAGTAAGGCACCAACCCTGGTACATTAGCATTAACAAAATTCCACAGTTTATTTGGATTTTATTAGTTTTCACCTAATGTCTTTGGAAGGAGACCATGGAGGTAATGTGCTGTTCTCATCACATTGTATCAAGGGTCCGTGCTACAGACATGACTTATCGCTGTTTGATGTTGACTTAAACCATCTGGCTGAGCCAGTGTTTGTCAGGTTTCTTCGCTGCGAAGTTCCTCTCCCCTGCCCCCTTCCATACTGTACTCCATGCAAAGAAATCATTATGCATAGCTCTCACTTCAGGGGCAGGGAGTCATGTTCCACCTCCTGGAGGGAGAAGTATCTCCATAAATTATTTGGGATTCTTCTGCACAGGCGACTTGAGTGACCCACTTTTCAGTAGTTCCATCTTTGCCCCAGCGTTGGGCAAGCCCACTGCGGTTTAGATGTCATCATGAATTCCAGGCAAATGGAGGGGAAGAACAAAAAACAGCCCACAAGGCTGAAGGTGCTGCCTGATGACCGATAGATGGAGCCTTACAAAAAAAAAGAGATTAAAAAAATTAATAAAAGCAACTTCCTGTGGAGGCGAACTGTCACCCTGGTTAGAAACTGTGCAGAATTTTTTCTTGGAAACCTTCAGGCAGCTGCTCTGGTTTATAAAATCTGCCTATTGGAGGGAAGAAGAGGAAAAAAAAAAAAAAGGTTGTCATTATTCCAGTAACAGAGATTCTCCCAAACCATATGCAAAAATAAATCTGTGGCGACTGGGCTGTATCCGAGGAAACCTGGCAGCTGGGATGGAGTGTGTGGGGTGGCCCCTGGGGACACAGAGGCCTAGCCACCTCCCCGGCAGGACCAAGAATCCCCAAAAGACAGCGGCTGGGTCGTTTCCAGCCCCACCTCACCAGCTCTGGGCCTCCGTCCTTCCCCCCTGGTTCTGGGATGAGAATTTGGTTTTCCTTCTTGCCCCTCACATTGGAGGGTTTGTCCTTAACTGGGGGGACGTGCACAGCCCTGGCCAAGAGGAGGGTCCCTGACCCAGAAACAGCTGTTTTGAGAACAAAGGGTCACTAAGGGGGGAGGGAAGTCAGGGAGGACAGGCTGAAAGGAGGAGGAGAACCCAGGCAATGTGCCATGGGAAATCCTAACAAAATGGGGATGGGGGTGGGGCTGGATGGGGGCCGGACAGTGATGACAGGAGGTGGTCCAGGTAAGGACGTCCTGCAAGGCAGAGAGCTGAGTGGCCAGGGGCTTCAGGAGCTTGCTCTGGGAGTGTGTTTGGGGAGAGAAGGTTACTTAATTAAATTCATATTAATTCAACAACTCCTCTGCCAGGCACAGGGGAGAGGTGACTTGTGCTTGGCATGGGGGAGACAGGGCTGGCCAAAGCAAGGCCTCTTCGGGTTCAGGCACTTCACTGCTCGGTCAATGACCATTCCATGACTGTGAACTTCAAGAGGTTAGAAAGGGGAGTTGGTTGGGCCCACAGGAAGCACAGGCAACCCTTGGGGAATCCCAGTAGTATGCCCCGGCATCCGCCGTGGGTGACAGAAAGGATTGAAGACTGCATTCTAATCCCAAGTCTGCCAGTAAGTAGCACGCTTGCTCTGTGACCACCACCTCGGGCAAATATTTTGCCTCTGTGGGACTCCACCTCCCAATGTGGAAAATATTTACTCAACGCTGGCTATAGACCAGAAACTGTTCTGCACTCTCCTGCATTTAGTTCATTCAATTTTCACAAGAACCTTCTAAGATAAGTTAGCTAATATAGTCAGATAGTCAGTATTTTTATAAGATAGTTAATATTAGTCCCATTTTAGAGAAAAGGGACACCGAGGCACAGAGCGACCAAGTCACCTGCCTAAGAGCCCGCAGCTGGAAAGTGGTGGAGCTAGGACTGAAACCCAGGCAGGTGAGCCCAAGAGGCCGTGGTCTCAACCGCTCCCATATAAGGACGCGGTGGGGCGGAGGACTTTCCACCGCCCTGGCAGCTGGAAGCTCGGCGAGCACAGGGCTGGGAGTCCAAGACGCCCATCCTCCCGCGGAGGAGGGAGGCCGAGGAGGATCCGGTTGGCGGTGAACTCTGGACCAGGCCAGCCGGTTGCCATGGAGACGGCCGGCGTAGGCGGCTGGCCAGGCCGGCTGCCCCGCGGGGCAGTTCCGGGGAGCTCCCCCCCCCACCCCCCGCCGGTGCAGGGGGTGGCACTGGGCGGCACCTGGGGCCGTGTTTTCCCGGCAGCCCGGGCCACACGGATTCTCCCCTCGCACACCCGGGAGACCCGCAAGTCCCCCGGCCGCCGGAGCCTCGCCGACCTGAACTCAATCCCCCGCGAAGCCGCGCTTATCTCCAGTTCATCTGTGTGAATTATTTCCCGTCCCGGCGGCTCCGCGCCGCCGCTCCCGCCCTCCCTGCCCCCTCCCTGCCCCCCCTGCCCTCCCTGCCCCCTCCCTGCCCTCCCCTGCCCCTCCTCCCTGCCCTCCCTGCCCCTCCGCCTGCCTCCCTGCCCCCTCCCTGCCCCCTCCCTGCTCTGCCCCTGCCCCGCGCCCTCCCCTGCCCCCCTGCCCCTCCTGCCTCTGCCTCCCCTGCCCCTCCACTGCCCCCTCCCTGCCCCTCCCTGCCCTCCTGCCCCTCCCTGCCCTCCTGCCCCCTGCCCTGCCCCACCCTCGCCCTGCCCCTCCCTGCCCTCCTGCCCCTCTCCGTGCCCCCCTCCCCTGCCCCCTTTCCCTGCCCCTCCCTGCCCTCCCTGCCCTCCCTGCCCCTCCCTGCCCCCTCCTGCCCTCCCTGCCCCTCCTGCCCCGGAGCGTTTCCGCGTCCTGCCTCCCGCAGGCCCTCCGTCCTGCTCTCCAGGAAGTTCCAACGTGAGGGCTCAGGGGAACCTGGGGAAAGGAGCTTCCCACCGCCTTCACCTGGAACCCTCGTCCTGGAACCAGAGAGCACTGGGTTGGGAGTCAGAGCACCTGCTGCTGTGCACGGGGCCTCTGTCCACCTCAGCGTCCTCATTTGCGACGCTGGGGTGGTGTTGCCTGCTCTGGGTGCTTCCAGAACTGCTGATAAAAATCCAAAAGGAACGTGAGCAATTGACCTCTGCAACACACAGAGCACTGTATTGCGCGCACAATGTTACCGTTATCAGTATTGTTGACTTTTTCCATTATTTTGATGTTATTAACATCCTTACCAGGTGCTGCAGTGCTAAGTGTTCTGCATGTGTTTTCTTTTTATATTCTCCCAGCGATCCTAAGAATCGGGGACATGGTTATATTACCGTCCATTTCACATGCAAAGAACCGAGGCCAGAGGGTTTGAGTAACGTGTCCTTAGCTGAGTGGGAACCATGGAACCAGAGCCTGATTCTGGCTCACACTCTGACCTCATTAGCCACTCCCTAAGCCTTTCACCAGCACCCAGTCTCATCATCGGTGACAGCCACATGCGCAGAGCAGTGACCCAGCCTTTGTGCCTAGTCCCGTGTGCTGGGTGCTGGGCACACACTGGATGAGTCAGGCAGCGCTCTGCCTTCAAGCTGCTTCTGCCTGAGCTGAGGGTGGGGGTCAGGGACAGGAGCAGGGAGGGACAGACGTGTTCGCACGCAGTTATGATACAGATGGAAGGCCTGTCACGATGGGGCTGGGCACGGACGAGCAATGAGCTCTGGCGTGGGAGACCATTCCAGGAGCCGTCACGATTCTAGCCGGGCCTGGGAGCAGGGCAAGGGCACTCTGGTGCAGGAGACCACGAGCAGAGGCCACGGAGGTTGGCAAGTTTGGGTTTACTTGAGAAGAGAGCAGTGTCTTGGGGCGTGGTGGGAACAAGGTGTTTCGTGATAGTGCTGGGGCTGGGGGAAAGGGGTTTAGGGACAGATAATGGGAGTTCTTGAAATATGAGGCTCGGGGGTCAGTTTAGGCAGTGGTTCTTCAATAGGGGGCAATCTTGGCCCTCCAGGGGCTCTGGCAATGTCTGGAGACATCTCGGGTTGTCACCATGTAGGGAAGTGGGTAACCCTAGCTGGCATCTAGTAGGCAGTGCCAGGGACAGCCCGAAACGAGGAATTATGCAGCCCCAAACATCACTGTGCCAAAGTTAAGAAATCCTAGTGTTACGAGCATGCTTAAGGGTCTTTTTTTTTTTTTTTTTTTTTGAGACGGAGTTTCACTCCCTGTTGCCCAGGCTTAAAGAGTTTGACCGTGCGTGGTGTCAGCCTAGCTCACGGGCAACCTCAAACTGCCTGGGCTCAAGCGATCCTCCTGCCTCAGCCTCCTGAGTAGCCGGGACTGTAGGCATGCGCCACCATGCCTGGCTAATTTTTTCTATGTACTTTTTAGTTGTCCAGCTAATTTCTTTCTTTGTTAGTAGAGACGGGGGTGTCGCTCTTGCTAGGCTGGTCTGCGCCAACTCCTGACCTCGAAGTGACGCTCCCTGCCTTCAGTTGCCTCCCCAGAGTGCTAGGATTACAGGCGTGTTTAAGAGTCTTTAAAGTGAAATTTGGGGTAAGTCACTTAACTTCTCATGCCTCAGTTCCCTCTTCCCTAGAATGGGCTGGTTATTACAGCTAACATTTGAGGAAATCACCGCCATCTTTTTCACACTTACAGTGGGCCAGGTCCAACCCTAAGTGCCTTACGCGTGCTGTCCCATCCAATCCTTACAGCCCAGTGGAGAATACTGCTACTATGACAATGATTAAATGTCTCCGGGGCGCTTATGAGGTGCCAGGTCCTGCACTAAGCTCTTTACACATATTGATTGATTCATTTAATTCTCACAACACCTGTATGAGGTAGGTACTATTTTAATCTCCATTTGGCTGGTAAAAATAGAAAAATTAGCCGGGCATGGTGGCATGCACCTATAGTCCCAGCTACTTGGCAGCCTGAGGCAGAAGGATTGCTTGAGCCCAGGAGTTGGAGGTTGCTATGAGCCAGGCTGACGCCACAGCACTCTACTTAGGGCAACAGAGTGAGACTTGTTCTCTAAAAACAAACAAACAAAAAACCAAAAGAAAACAAAAAAATCTCCATTTAACAGATGGGGAAACAGAGGCATGAGAAGATGGAAGCTTCTTGAGGGCAATGTATTGTTTGCTGCTGTCTCTAGAACAGTGTCTCAATTTGTTAGGAAGGAAACAAATAAACCCTCTACGGACTCAGTGGGCCCACCAGCCCTCCTGTATTGTGAAGAAACTGGGGCCCAGAAAGGGCCTTGGCTGAGGGTCTTGGCTGCAGCCACACAGCCGGGCCTTCCCTCCTTGCTGTCTAGACGAGGTCTGGGGGAGCCCAGACGAGGTCTGGTGTCTCTCGGCCACTGGAGCCTGGCTCTGCTCCCACCGCCGCCGGCAGAGAGGGGCTGACGTGTGTGGGGACGTTTCTGAGATGCCCAGAGGGTGGCGGGGTGGCAGGTCTCCCTGGAATCCCAGCTGAGCGGGAAGGATTAGCATCCTGGGGTCTGAGCGGGCAGAGTTCAGCCAGCACAACAGTGTGCCTGGTGCCTGGGACCGGACTGGTCTATTTCCTCCATGAATGCAGAGAGATCTCACATTTTATTCAATCCTAGTCTCGACCTCAGGGAGGTGGGTACCCGCAGGGCATATGGTCTGAGCTAGTCATGGCAGCTGCAGTGCAGTCTGCGTGCTACACGCCTCGGGTGGCTACAGTCTACCCGCTCCCACTCAGCAAGGCCGCACGCACAGCAGCCCGCAAACGCAGCAGCACCGTGTCGGCCCACCAAGGCCTAGAGAAGTGGGAGTTTGTCCAAGGGCGTCAACGGGGAGCCTGCAGACCCAAGTCAGCCTGGCCTCTCTGATGCTTGCATTAACCCCAACCCTCAGTACGTGTTCCGTGAGTGACCCTGGGCCTGTTCCTTTACTTCTCTGACCCACATCTGTGAAATGGGACCATGAATCCAGGCCTCCGGGGACTGCCGGAAAGGTGATAGCCATGATAAATTACCCAGCACCTAGTAGGTGCTCAATAAATAGCAGGTTCTTTCCCTGAGCTTCCTGGGACCCTATCCTCAAATCTGAGCTTTGGGGCAGCCCTGGGGGTGTTGGTGCAGGGGGGTCAGGGCAGGAGCTTGGGAGGAGGCCTGTAATGCCCGCCCTGCACTGCTCTACGAAGCAGGGCCTGCCCGTTTGCCAGTCCTCTCCCGCTATGCTGTGCTGCCTGGAAGCTCCAGAGTGGGCCATTTTGCACGTCATCAACAGACAGTTCTGATGAAGTCGGCTTCCTGGGCCATTCTGTAAATGGTTATGGGGATCGCGGGCAGTTATGAGAGCAGATGGGGTACGGTCTACACCGCATCTCATGGTGCGGTGTATACCACTGGTCTACACCACTCATCTCCCCTTGCTTATACATCAGCCTGTTGCGACGCTCTGGCCACACTGTTCTTTCCAGAATGTCCTACATTTCATGCCTCTGCACTTTTGCATATGCTGTTCTTTCAGCCTCCCGCCCTTTCCATTTAGCCAAATCCTACCCATCCTCCAGGTTTCAGCTCGGATGTCACCTCCTCCAGGAAGCCTTCCCTGAGACCCCTCCACCTGCGTTAGGTGCCTCACTTAGGCTTCTGTGGATCGGAGCTTCCCTCTGTCAAAGCAGAGCGTATCACTGCTGATCCGCCCTCCCCCGTCAGGCCATGTTTCCCTCTTGGGCAGGTGCTGGAGCTCTGGCATTGGCCTCAGTCACCCCAGGGCTTCACACAAATGACTGGCACATGGCAGTGCCTCGAGGGATGTTGTTGAATTAATGTTATAATAATAACAACAACAATAACTTGCATATGTAGAGCTCTTTTCCAGTTTCAAGAGCCTCTATATGCAACTGTATCTTGAGCCTCACAGAAAACTTGTTGTTTAAGGTAGGTAGGGTTTGAATCGGTGTTTCCAATTTCTAGGGAAGAACATGAGGCTGGAAGAAATGAGGTGCATTGCCCAGGTGGCCGGTCCCGCCGCCCACACCGTCTTGCCTGAGGCAGGCATGGGTGCATCTGTGATATATTTGGTCCAGAGTGGGAGTCTCAGAGTTCTCATTCCAGGCTTTCCGTCTGGGGAGATTGGGGGTAGAGAGTAGGGGGGCAGCTCGGTGGCTCTCAAGGCTCGGTTGGGAGCTGGGGCCAGCTTTG